TTTTTATAAAACGTTAAAATTTTATTATTATCATATAAATACTGTTGTTATTAATTATAAATTTATATCTCGTTAATGTAAATTTAAAATTCAAGCTTCAAATTCTTTATATCTACCCTTATATAAATTATAAAGGATTCTTTTTCTCCTCGGCCTCTTCGAATGCAAAGGTAGAAAATAGATGTGGATATGATTTTTTATGCTATCAGACAAAGTCAGCCATTTGAAAGCGGACGCGTTCATCTTTGGACCGATCCCATGTGTCCTCCTCGAGCTCTCCCAGCATCAACACGTACTTCCCGAGTCAACGTGTGGATCTGCATGACAACGAGCTCACCGCTTCACAAGGTTTATATGCCATGAACATAACGAAGCCATTAACACATTCTTGACAGTCTGCAACCCAGAGATCGGTGTGGAGCGTGAGTGCAACAAGTGCCACCATGGCGTCCACCCATGTCAACGTTTCCGGTAAGCCCGCCGAGACTAGCACCGCCCTCCTGGAGACGGCCGCCGCTGCCATCCAAGGCTTCGATCCCATCAACAAGATCCACCAACACCTCTGCGCGTATGTCTCGTCAACCTCATAGGCCGGTTGGTTTTCTTGCTCTCTGTCTTTGCTGTTGAGAAGGTTCCTGTGCAGTTTCCACTTCTACGGGGACGACATGACGCGGCAGGTGGAAGCACACCACTTCTGCTCGCACCAGAACGAGGAGATGCGGCAGTGCCTGATCTACGACGGCGAGGGGCCGCGTGCGAAGTTGATCGGCGTGGAGTACATTGTGTCGGAGGCGCTGTTCCTGGCGCTGCCGGACGACGAGAAGCCGCTGTGGCACTCCCACGAGTACGAGGTGAAGAGCGGGATGCTGTTCATGCCGCAGGTGCCCGGCGCCGTCCAGCGACCGGACATGGAGCAGGTCTGCAAGACATACGGCAAGACTTACCATTTCTGGCAGGTGGACCGCGGCGATGAGCTCCCGCTCAGCCTTCCCCAGCTCATGATGGCGTTCACCCGAGACGGGCAGCTGCGACAGGAATTAGCCAAAGGTTTGCTGCAGTACTGATCGATCTCCTCCTGACTTGTTCTTTAGGCCTATTAATCGGCGTATTGCTGCAGATATCGAACGCCGGTACGAGATCTCTTTTGAGGAGGAGAGGGAGAAGAGGAGGTACATGGCAGGTCCAGATCATGGAATTCACCCACTGGCTAATGGACCAGGGAAAGGGCGGAGATTGGCGCTGAGAGAGGTCGATGTTCCTCCGGTTGGTTCTGTGCCAAGAGCCTTCATTTGATATGAATGATAACTTGTTGGAGTCAGTAATCATCGGTCTAAGTTACTACATACCTGCAGTTTCTTGTTGGTGTAGTCAAATATTTTGGTCTACTTGTACAGTTGGCAATAAAAGTGCATGCTTTCAGAGAAAACAGTGAGGCGATCTTGGTAAGATGATGAAGATTTTTTAGCTATCAAACCTCAATTATAATTTTCAAAGAATAGCAAACATGGTTTATATTCTTATTTTCTATCAATCATTGATTGTTTTCACTTGATTTATTTTTTTTGTATTAAATGAATTATCTCCCTCTCACTTTCTGATATTAATTTTTTTTTTAATCTTCTCTTCCTCATCCTGAGATATCCATCTCAAAATATTTAATAAAATTTTCATGAAAAAGTTTCTTTTTTTATGATGTATTTTTTTTTTCAAAATTTTCATTTGATGTCTCAATTTTTTGATATCTTAAATGCTTTTATTCCCTCCCAATAAAACAATAAAACAGTTCCCATCTGATCAATAGGCACAACAGGGTCCCACTGGTCGGATCAAGGATCCGATTTGCATAGAAGTATAATTTAGTTTATTTTTTATAATTTAATATATTTTAGGTTTTATTGGGAGTAGAGGAAGAATATTTAAGATATTAGAGAAAAATATACCGTAGGAAAAAAAAAAAAAAGTGCGTCAAATAAGAAATCTGAAAATGGTACCATCCGTTAATGATATTGGTGTGGGCCGAAACAGGTTTATTGGGAGGAGTGAGGGGTCTTTAAGAAATATGAAAAAGGTATCATCTACAGGATTTTTTTTTCAAAGAAATCATCCCAAAAAGGTCTTTTTTTTTATCACATGTGATAAAAATATTTATGAGCTTTTAGAACATGATATTTAGTTCCCATGACAACAACTAGCTAAATTGTATTGCTGTTCCAATCAAATTGTATGACATTACCTTAATGTTGATCAAATATCACATGAATCGAGGCATATCAGTATTGAAATGTCTTTTGTTTAGTAAACTATATTTTTGGCTCATGCAAAAGAGTTAGTCACTGCCATCCAATTGGACATAAAGCCATGGAACTCTATGGAACACATAATCATCAAGAACGATATAAGAAAATTGTCTAAACGAAGAATTCCCTTTTAAACGAATGATATAAGAAAATTGTCTAAAACCAGAAAACAATAATGGATTATATATTTTACTATATAGCATCTCTAAAAGGTTAGTAGTAATTAATGTCTTAACATGTGGTATGAGGTGCCCTATACAGTAAAACAATAGGGCTTTCATGAACAAATTTAAGTCGCAATAATTTTCAGAAGATAGAAATCTGTAAATTGCTCCTTAAGATTTTACATAATTATGTATACCCTAATTCTAGTAAAATATTAGACCAAAGTAACTTGCAATCTTTTGCATGGTCTCAAGCTATGTTTCATATATATAACGAGTTTTAATTTATTTACTAATCTGATTACTTCATTTGTGCTAGTTTAAACTATTTCATCTCCTAGATGCTTAGTTGCTGCATTTAATTGCGAGAAGCAAAAATCTTAGACAAATTAAATACTTATAATTTAGGACTTTCTCTCAATATAAAAAACTTCACTATGTAGAATTAATGAAAGTTTTAACAAGAGGATTTAAAAATTTTAAACAAAGTAAATACTAAGACAAAATTGATCATAAATAGAGTTGGTAATTGTTCACTATTTAGTTTATATCTAGTTAAGAGAAATGTATAATAATCATATCAATAGTAATAAAATTTATGACAGTTTTAGTTATTCAGAAAAAAGAAAAGAACATTAGGAAAATGAAGTTTCTTTAAATTTTCATTTGTGAGACCTCAAGTTATAGACATCTTAAAAATAATTTATTCAGAGTCCGCCATGTTAACCCCTAAAATATCATTCTTCTTAAAGTCCCTAATAAATGAAGATCATAATTTTCTTCCTTAATTAGTAGATCAAAATAATCGAAAAAAAAATTGGCATTACATTTAATTCTGTATGAATTGGTGCTTCTAACACCCCCAAGCAACTTTTTCAAAAGCAAATCCCGCCAGAAAATAAGAACAAACCAAACTATTATCAATTAGCTTCTTTTTATTCTTTTATACACCTAGAGATTAGGAAAATGACAAATTATCATTGTAGGAAGCTATGTTCCCTCACAGATGTCTTCTATACTCTCCATATGATTTTTCGAACTTACGAGAAAAAGATCTCCAGAATTATAGTACTTGACCTTTTTATTTGTGCCTCTTGTGGAGTCCACCTTTTTGGTGTTGTGAATCTAATGGCAA